CATGACCCATCTTAGCGGAAATCATGTTAGTGAAGATCTCGTAACGCTCTTGTCTCGCGTTTTGGTGGTACCTCTCCAACAAGTCTTGATGCATCTCGTATGGATACATGTCCTCGTAGGACTTTTGGAATTCGGAGTTCATGGTGGCGATCATGATGCAATGTACTTTCGTCGCATCTCGCTCATGAGTTTCAAAGGCGGTGATTTCGGCGGGAGTAGCAATTTCGGGGTTGATTTTCTCGAGCTTCTCGTCGAGGACATACTCTTTATCCTCATAGCGAGCAATGGTGCGAATGTATCTTATCCATTCGCCAAAGTTCGTTCCATCGAAGGTGACCTTTTGGCAAAGGCTCATCAACGTGAAAGAACTAGCAGCAGCGTTGTTTGCGTTTGACATCTATAGAAAGGACAAAGATAGATTAGAACAAGAATCCCTAATTATCACCCAATAAGAAAAATTAGGGCTAGGATCCAACAATAACATTTACATACTAGAAAAGGGATGCCGTAATCCAACATGCAAATAAATTGAAGGTAAGTGAATGACGATTCACTAATTCTCCATCACAAAACTTAAACTTTTAGTCCTAAGTGTTTTGAGAATTCCTAGGTTCGGATGAGATTCATTGAACTATTCAATGGCATGTTTAAATCTCGATATGCCCCTCTTGTTTGTGACTGGGATGCCGAGGATCACAAAGCGGGTGTGAATTACCATGCAAATTTACATGGTGCCTTCATTGTTACGATCACCTATTCGATGTGCCGGTAAACCACACACGCTCCATCGAACTATGATAAACAATGAATCACCCTTTGCCACCTTCGCTTAGAACCAATTAGTGTGCCGGTAAACCACACACGCTCCACTAACATCTTAGCAAGGTGCAAAGTGTAATTTCATGGGATTGCATCAATTCACTTTTCCTAAAGTAACTAAGATTGGGAAATTTAAAAAAATTTAGTTACTTCGTATTTCTTATTATACTTTTAATGAGAGGATGAGGTTGCCCTATCCTACCCGTTCGGCTAACGACCCTCCACCAATCAAGCAAGCGGTGGGTGTGAGTGTACACCCATTAAGCGCCATTTTATAGGCCGCAACCTTATACCCACCTTATAGATCGGCTTCGTGAATGAGGCCTACTAGCGGTAAGACTAGCATTTAGTTATACATATATATATATATATATATATATATATATATATATATCTATAATATCATATAAGTATAGGTTGTATTTTAAACTTTTAAAATTAGGGATTGAAATTTAAGTTGTCTAAATTAGAACTTTTAATCACAAATATAAATTTCAAAACTATAGGGTAGGTTTTAAACATTTAAAACATGGAGGATCAAATAACAAATAATTTCAATTAACAATTAATATCTTAATTATCTTTATTTGATTTATCTTTGATTTCTTTGAAGATAATTACCAAAAATAATCAAAATAATTAATTAATTATCATATAAGGAAACTAAATATTTAATTAGTTGATAATTACCTTTAACTAGATCAAGATAACACTTATATTTATCAAGAAATCGGATTCATATTGATCTAATTAGTTTATGGAAAGTTTGGATAAGATAAACACAAAGAAATCCCGAATTTGGCCTTCCTGACGCTTGGACTCGCCGAGTGCACAAAGGGACTCGCCGAGTCAGGCCTACTCGACGAGTCCACCTTGGAACTCGACGAGTCAGTGACTCAAAACCCAAAAAATCGAATTTTGCAGGTTTGTTTCAGTTATTCAAGCAACAATTTAAAGAAAACCAATCTAGGCTCTGATACCACTGTTGGGTTTTAGCCATAAGAACTTTCCTATGTGCGCATGCAAAACCCTATTGCTTGGATCTAGGCTTTCTAATAAACATGCTTTTGAATCCAAGACTTCTAATGGCTAATTAGGTTAAACAACAACATTAAAACAGATCTAGAATCATACCTTTGAGTTCCTTGTTGATCTTCTTGTCTTGGAGCTTCTAGAGTCACAATTGTCACTCCTCTAATGGCTTACAAACACCAATAGCAAGCAAGATGATTTAGGAGAGAGGAGAGGGGAGGAATTCGGCCAGAGTATCCTTGCTTAAGGTTGTGTGTCGAATTCCTCACCCATAGGGTCTATTTATACTTGTAGACTCCTTAAGGGTTTCACCCTAAACCCTAATTGGATAATCTTCTCTTAAGGCTATCCAAATCCATTCCATAGATAACCCTATGGACGATTTTGAGCTATCCTAAAGCTCCTAGAATCCGTCCAAGGTCAACCCTAATGGATTTACAGTCTAAAGTTTAACTATCAAACAATTGACAGTTTATACCCTCTTATTTAATTAATCTCTTTAAGTCACCAAATTAATACCAATTAATTTATGACTTATATTAATCAAATAGCTAAATATTATTTCTTATAATATTTACTCTCTCTTAACAAATCATCCTTCAAGTTGCTATGGTGAAGGCAACCCAAAAGGATCATGCACAACCGAATATAGTTACAGCCTTAGACACTATTCCAACAAAAAGAACGTACCAAACCTCGTTGAGTATGAATGTTAATTATGAATATCCATTCACAACCTACAACTCGAATTCGAGAAGTTTAATTCAAGAATCTGAGGGAGGAAAGGCTTCGCGAGATAAACTCTGTGAAAGATGGATAAATAAGTAAATCTTAAGGATGGCGGGATGCGATGCTTTTTGAGCCAAATTTGTACGTCTAAGTGCAGTGATCACGGGAGCATAGTCTTAGACGACGCACATAGACTAAAGTGTCTCATCCATCTAGGCTTCTGACATAATGCTCTTATATCCAAAGGAATGATAATGGTGAACATCCATGAAAGTATAGATTACCAATGAAATGGATAAATATCATACTTGTCTTAAAGGCAAAATCTCAGAAACACTCAAGACTAGAGTAATGATAGAGAAAAACCCAAGTAAAAGTGGGAACCAACGTCAATGGACTTTATATCAAAACTACCCAAGAAAGCTAAAGATTTCTATTCATGTAGTGGTTCACGGATTGACTAAGTACGCCCACTTCGTGCTAATCTAAGAACCATGTGAAATAGTTGCAAAAGAAATCGTCAGACTACACGAGGTGCCAATCTCTATCATCCCCCATTAAGATAGTAGATTCACCTATTAGTTATGACAATCATCAAAATCCTTAAGTATGTGCTTAGACATAAGCCTAGCTTACTCTCCCCAATGGTTAGACCGAATGAACCATATTGACGTGAGTAATATGCTCTATACATCTCTGATAGACCTTTGGATATTTCTTGGAATGCTCATTTTTGTTAATTGAGTTTCCTACAATGATAGTTGTCACACTAGCATAAAGACCTCACCACTTGAGGCTTTGTACGGAGAAAGTGTTAATCCTCGATATATTGAGTAATGATTGAAGATGATAAATTAAATAAAGAGCATATAGATGATATGTTGCACTCTGATCCAAGAAGCACTAACCGGAGACAGATTTTAGACTGGTCAGGAATGACAAGAGAGTTATGTGAACAAAAAATGTAAGTATCTTGACTTCCAAGTCAGAAACTGTGTAGATTTAAATACCTAATCTTTTAGAGAAAGGATTCGGCTTAGAGAACGAGACATGTTAAACTTGCAGCTCAAAGGACATTAGAAATTGTTAATAGGATTTGGTCCCGATATTATATCGAATTATCTTGAGAACTAAACGACAAACACGACACTTTTTCATACGACAAGTTTCAAAGAGTGTCGGTCCCATGACACACTTGTCATATCTTTTTCAATGAAGTTAGCTAGGAAACCATGTGAGTATTTCACAATTGGGAAAGTATACCTAGTAGAAAGGTATATAAGATTCGATAACCTTAAAAGACTTGATTCGATTGTATTCCCTATTCATTTCTCTTTGTAGGGATTAGAATAAAACTATCTATTCAACCGATTAACCAATCTATAGTTATACGACTTATAACGACTATAGAATGATCATGTGTGAATAAATCAAAAAGAAAATTTCACCAATCGTTTTATAATATTTTATCTACACGTTCAATTTCGGGAGGAAATTCATTTCAATGGTGGATAATGTAACTACTAGTAAAAATTGGTCAGAGTTTGGCGGTCAAACCGTTATGAAATAAAAACCAATTACATTTAATTTTATGTTTGTAAAGTATATTAAATAACTTATTTCATAATTGCTTTTAAAACATCTCAAGCGGCCTAAAACCCTCTATCGTTGAGATCAAATCGAAAATCGCCAAAAATTTAATTTTTGGTGGTGTTAAATATAAAATTTTGTATTAAATATATTTTAAAGTTATGGAATAGATATTTGAGTAGATTATGTTATCTTGATTTCGTGCAAATAATGAACGACCAAAACGAAGGATGTATGAGAAAGTTAAGACTCATTAAAATTTTAAAAATCAATATTTATATAATTTTTTTGAAACAAACATACATTGTTTCGTTTGGAAGACTATGAGTCTCGTAAACCGTATTTGAACATGTTTTTGAATTCTGATTATGGGCTATTATTTTATTATATTTTTATAATATTTTTAAACTCGACCGAAATCAGATTTGAAAAATCTGTCGAATCCAATCCTATTAATCGCAAAACTTTAAACGAATATTCTCGGATTTCTACTTATCGGATTTAAGATCCGTCTGAGTTTTTGGAAACATTATAACCGAGATTATTATTTGTCATTTTCAGAAAAAATATTTAATATCCAGATCGATGGCACACGAATCGAGAACATTAGAAAATATCATCATTTTAAGATATTGACATTGTACTTTTGGCACATTGAGTGAAGCATAATTGAATTTAAACTTTTAACAATATAACTATAGCATCTAAATTTGCATTTTCCGCCACATCACTCAATACATTCACAAAATATATACATTCACAAAATATGTTAATACATATACAAAATACATGTTTTTACATACACAAATACATGATCATCTACGAGGTGGTTACCATTTCCGGTGAACATCAAGGTGGCAACAACCTCTCGATTGAAATTGTAAAACAATAATGAAATCACTGATCCAAAATTGCTTCTTCTTACCCTTTTCTTCTTCACAAATTTCTGCCAAGGTACCACCAAAGTGGTTGGCTGTTACATCGAGACCAAAGAGGGCAACAGCCTCTTGGTTCTTTCTTGTGCACTTACCTGTCAATTGAATCAACCCAAACCTCCACCAGAAGTGGAGATTTCCCTGCAATCAAGAAGACATCAAGACCTTCACGTTGTGCTCCTTGCTTACTGTCAAACGAAGAGTCAAACACCCCACCACCGGAGCTGCTATCGCCACCCGTTTTTTTCCTTCGTATCTCACTGCGGAAGCAAAAAGAGAGCAGCTTCGCTGCCTCTTCCCTTCTTTTTTGTTCGGACCAACCGAGTACCGGAGGTGCTCCCCTCCTCGCTATCTCTTAGCCACCACCAGTACATCCCTTGGCTGCCTTCGTTCGCCAGTCACATCTCCGGTCTGATGATGACGAAGATGAGGACCGAAGTCCCTTTTGTCGGTCCTCCTCTTTACGATTGGCCTCCTCCACCGAGCCACCTGCTGCCGCCTTCGATTTCTTTTCCCTTCGCTCGACGGATGAGTCGCTGAAGGCGTGCGTGTGTCGTTTGCGCTTGTTCCTCGCGTCTGATTCTTTCTTTTGATCGATCGGGCAAGATGAGGGCGCAAAAGCCCTAAAATCGTTTGTTTATAATAAATAGCCATATCAGCCCCTACAAATGTTGCGTGGTGCCAAAATAAACCCCATTTGAAACGATTTATCAAAACTGATCTCTTGTGGTTAAGGAATTTACTAAACAACCCCCATTTGTTGTATTATTTCCCAAAACAGCCCTACAGTTGTTAAAATACACCAAAGCTCTCTCTCATTTGATTTGATTCACCAAAACTATCATTTTAGTTAATTAAACTACAAATCAAATCGGGTTCTCTTTTACTTTAATCAAAATAGTCCTGATGGTTTGTTCCAAATTTACAAAGGTGTAAATTACGGTTCCTCACGACAAGCTTCAACAACCGAGTCTAGATCGAGATCACGCATCGAATGTGAGTTTCTACGGCCCCTCATTTACATTCTTAATTTTGGCGGAGAATACATGAGTGTCTACTTAAAGTTTTGATGATTTTCAAATCTTATGCATTAACTGCATCATATTTTATTATTGGTTAAGAGTTTATGAAAATAACAATCTAAAAGGTATAAAGCATTAATAAATTATATAAGTTATAGTAGAATGCTAAAAATGATCAAATTATACATTGTTTTGATATATTAGTTAATATAAATAAAAATCACAGGTTTATAAGTATATTGATATAATTATATAAGTTATTCGACGAATCCTAAACTGTAATATTCGTCGTATATTTGTGCGTGAAAATATTGAGAAAGCATAAAAAGACATTATACCCATAACAAAATATGGTATTCAATATAATTGTGTACAAAGGAAATGTACATTGTCTTAAACGACTATAAACGAAAATTTAACAAATATATATTATAATTAATTGAAAATATACCAAAAATCAATTATTATTTTAATACTCCCAATCATAATGTGGAAACAATTACTAAGTAAATGATATAATTTATTTTTATAATTATGATAAAAATATAAATCATTTTAGTTGTGATACAAAACTCGTCACATATGATAATATAATTAATTCTCGAATTTTTGGGGATTATTACCTAATAAATTATATATCATATAAATTATGCAACTTATCGAATATCGACATAAGTAAGTATTCGGCTACGCGAATGAACATCCTCCTTATCGGCTGAAGTAAGGAACTACTCAAATGATTATCGCCACAATAGTCAAAACTATTTAACTAAATTCACTAAGGTTCAAAAATCATAATAATTTAAGATTTGCGTTAGTGACCCTAGTGAATGACGAATTTTATGAGTCGAAGAATTATCGTCATGGATTTTTCGGATTGTGTATCATGTGTGTGCTTGTGAGAGAAATGTATCAAAAAGGGGTAAAAGAGGGTGGTTTATGATGGTGTGTTTTTCCTTCGTAAGGATCAAATCCTAAATTGACACCTAGCTTTATAACCGTTAATCCAGGAGGGATCATATATTGTAGGTCGATGTACACGGCATAGATTTATAATAAAGAACAATTGATGTAGATATATTTCTTATGGAAAGATTTATGCAAATTGTTATTTTCAATCTGTGGTTGCTAGCTACAACTTTGTCTGACAAGGCAACACTACAACTTCGTTTGACAAGAGGCGTCAAGTGTTTCTTTCTTCGTTACTATACGACTGCTTTTAAACATTAGTAACGATCTTGATTCCTCCATTTTTATTTATATTGTGCTTGTGTGGCTTGTTTATTGTGCCTATATGGCTTGTGGAGGAGCAAAGAATAGTGTCAGTTATAGACAAATTGTTATATTGAAGATTTTTGTTCGAAGAAGTATATGTCTAGATTGAGTCAATCCTCCCAATTTGGACCGAGTGTGTAAGAGTGTTCAGGTTGTTAACTACCTCTCCCTACGACAAAATTCTCCGTACGCAGAGATGTTTCAAATAACAGAACTGTAAAGAGAATAATTAATAATTGTCGTTGAAATTATACGAGTGGTAAAAATACATGTTTATAATTTACCGGTTGTTGAAAAGTATTTTGGGATGAGTTTGTCCCACTGGTTAAGTGGCAATTTTCAAATTAAGTAAGATAATGCTTAATTAATAATACGACACGGATTTACAAAGTTTATAAAATTCGAAAATTATGAGTTTTACATATAAACTATATAAATGCTTGTACAAGGTTTCAAGAATACACTTGCCTACGTTATGTTTTCACTAAGTGTGATATAACTTTATTTTATATAAATTGATATTCGAAATCTTTATTTAAAAATCACTTTGGAAATGGGAACGTTGAGAATTTGTTATAGGTTTGGTTTATATATATATATATATATATATATATATATATATATATATATATATATATATATATATATATATATATATATATGTATGTATATATATATATATATATATATATATGTATATATATATATTATAAAAGGTGTATTTTTGGATTTGAGCAAATTACATTTCTAAATGAGTTTAAATATACTTTTATGATTCAATTATTTTATACTTTCGATAGAATAGTACCCTTGTATAAACGCTGATCAACTAGATACATTTTATAAAACATTTTTTGGTATAAAAATACTTTGTGTCAAAACCTGTAGAACTCACCAACAATTTTGTTGACGTATCTTAATGCATGTATTCTCAGGTTATTTGTAAGGTCGGAAGAGTTCATACAGAAGATCCTCTGAAATTCTTATCACACAATTACGAATGCCAGATTGTTAGGCGTGTGTAGTATTTCAATAATAGTCTTGTCAATGTAATTTCTTTTCGGTAATAATAAAACATTATATTTGTACTGTTCAATGTATGTTGAATAACTGTGATTATTGATTTACGTCACGGACTTCGGCGTTTCCGTCGTCGGCCGAAGGTGTGACAAACTGGTATCAAAGCTATTGGCTATAGCGAACTAGTACTTTCTTAGGAAAGCGCGACTATAGCCTAGGGATTACTCTTTTAGGTTAGCTATATTCCTTAGCCTACAAATATAGGGTTATACATATATACATATAGAAACTTGAACCCTTGAATGCAAATATACCGCAAGGTTTTAGGTCAAACACCTTAACTAAGTTGATTGTATGTGGGCCGAACCTCAACTAGACATAGACTGATCACCTATGTTTAATTTTGGTTGGACCGATGAACAATTATGCTTAGATTCGGTTGTTGATAAACTAAAACATTGGGAGTCCAAAATATTTAAGGAAAAATCATAGTTTAAAATGCTTAAGAACCCTCAAAAGTTTAATAAACACTTTACGAATATTTGGCAAATATTTACCTCAAATGCTCATGAAACTGTAAGTATCATAAACATAAATCATGTCCGATGATTAACTCGGAATACTAATTTCTCGGCTATGATATGCTATGAATACTCTTGTTAGACATCCTAAGGATACCATGTAAAATACTCACATTTACAAATCATTTCGAATTTGGATTAGGTATTCAATCAATTTGTTTCTTTCTGTTGTGAACCGTCTGACTTATGTTTGAACCATCCAAGTTCAAAAAAAGGACACCTACGCCAACCATTCATCTTTTGTGACCCTTTTTTAAGGAGAATAAAACAGACACGATAAAAAAAATGTGAAACATGAAAGTTGTTAGGAATCTTGTCTACATCCAAAATATCTCGATTCTAATAAATTGTAACTTCGGAACTCGTGATATAGTCAAAATATCGAGTAGTAGATATTTTTCCTGTAGCATTTTCTTCGTAAATTTTTATAACTTGTTCCAATACTTGCTAGTTTCTTTTCACTCGTTCCAAGTGTAACATTTCACCCTTGGTGGTACTATAGAAGTTTGCTACATCTAATACTCGTAGTAGAGTTAGTCTCAAGCAAACCCACATCAATTATACAAACCCACATCAATTATACACGTTTGGCACAATTGTAATCTTATCACTAATGTCCACAACTATATTTTCACGTGACTTATTTCTCCTTGAACAAATTGTAATGAGAAAAGATATATCTCACAAGATACGGTCAGTAATCGTCCGACACCGACACAATCGCTTGTCGCAACTATAATCGAGTTAATGATCGAACAACTAGTAGTTAACACCTTGGTCACTTACAAGGTCAACAGGAACAACGAATTTGTACAAGGTAGATTTCGTAAGCAACAAACATAGAAATAATAGTGACATTAACCTAGATGCTTCTACGACATTGAAGGAATTGTAGGAAAGACTCCCTATAGCGAAAAAATGGAATCGTTATTTCATGTCAGCTCCAATATGGAAGGCTATAGTGTTAAGTTTGACACCTACACTTTTAAGGACGCAAATTTTACCAATTAGAACTATTATGTGTAAATTACGGGCATCGAATCTGCTTATGCAATGACTTGAGAAGGACTACAGGAGATGCTCATAAGAGTGTGATACTAAGAGATGAAATGTAGAGATTAGAGGAAGAAAAGCTTCTTACAAAAATGGTGAAAATTGGCACTTTGAGAGAAACTGCCCAAGACTAAAGAACTAGGAGGTGAAAACTCGATTCAGAGCAATCGTGATCAAAAAAGGGAATGAAATCCATGACACATCAGTAGTAACTAGCGCGTTTCTTATTAAGCACTCGTATGCTAGAGTATTTTTGTTTTAGGTGTGTGGCGAAATATTTGTGAACCTTAAAGTTAAACCTATTCTACGTAATGAATCCGATAGATTGGAGGAAACCTATAGAGTAGAGACAACCAGTGAGCAATGGGAAACGTACTCGCAAAATTTTAAATAAATTTCATCCTAACACTTACTAATCATGTTTGTCACATCAATCTCATACGTATGTCACCAAAAGTCCAATATCGTTGTCTATATGACTTGATTTTGTTTGTGTCACGTCAAGTCGTTATACGACCCCCTTTAACTGTAACCATCAACGATCGATCATTACTTATAAAGTTTATGACAATTCCGAGCAGAAGCTTGGACATCATCTTAGGTATGAATCAGCTACCTCCTCATTGTGTCTAGATTTGTACTAAAAGGAAATTGTATGACGAAGCGTACCCCAGAAGAAAGACATGGTGATTTTTAATTACAGGTTGGAGAAGAACCTAAAGTTGCTGTCTCACCCTAAAGATCAAATGTGAAGGATTTGATAAAATGTGAAGGATTTAATCAAATATGAAGGATTTGATCTAATGTGGAAGTTTAAGTGAAGACTTTTCCCCAGGAAAAGAACGCTGGAATTTTAACAACAAAAACGGAATTTATATTGGAAACTACCAGTGACCATCAAGGACTTGTTTATGGTACCCCAACTATCAAGTATATTAACACGAAAAAGGAAACAAAATCCAACTGGAAATTAAGCAAGATAATATATTCCAGAAGATGGAACAACTATGGTGTAGAGGACAAATCCTACCCTTCTGAAACAATAGAGAACTTGTTTGTCCACGACG